GTGTTACGAATACACATGATGCAATAGGCTATCATTATATATAAAACCTACAAATTATTGAATACTATAGAGTTTTGAGTAACATATTGGTACTACATATTTTACTTGTGCATATAACCTTGCAAATATGGATTTTCATTCCTGATGAATACATAATTAATGTTGAAGTATTATATCATACTTAGAGTATGTAATTACACTATCTTATATAAATACAATATGAATAATAATAATGACTATAGGCTTATTATACTTATACGAGTTGATGTAATATTGTGAAATACATAATGCATAAAATGATGTAGGCCAAATTAAATAAAACCTTGTGTTATGAATACACAGGTGTACAATACACTGTGCATTATTTAATACATTATAATGGTGTACAATGAATAACTGCCTACTAAAATTACACAAAGTGCAGGGTATTGTGAAATATAAACAATATGCAAAATGTGTTATGAATACACATGATGCAATATGCTACCATTACATTTAAAAATAGGCATACAAATTATTGAATATTATAGAGTTTCGAGTAACATATTGCTGGCACAATTTTAATTTTACTTATTTGCCCAACCCCCAAATTTTAAAAAATATTTAATTGTTATTTTATATTTATACCTCTAAAGTGTGCTAATATTATTGAAGTTTTACAGCAATTACCAATACCTCAAACTTTGTTCAACCAGATTTATATTTTTAAATATTAATCTTTATCCACTTTCAAAGAAGGGTTTTGCTAAACCCCGCAAACTTCTAAAAAAAAAAGACCGCAAACCCCATCCAAACCTTGTGATAGCGATTGAATCACATTGTATAGGACTCAAATTGGTATCTCAATAAAAAAAAATTATAATTTTATGTTCATTACAACCCATTTTGGGGGTAAAATCTGGATTTTGTTGCTAAAAATACACCGCAAACCTCCAAAAACACAGTCAATTTTGACTCACTCTGTTACTTAAGATGTTGTGATAGCGATTGAATCACATAGTATAGGACTCAACTTGGTATCTCAATAAATAAAAAAATTATAATTTTCATTACAACCCATTTTGGGGGTAAAATCTTGATTTTGTTGCTAAAAGTACACCGCAAACCTCCAAAAACACAGTCAATTTTGACTCATTCTGTTACTTTAGTAGTAGTAGTAGTAGTAGTAGTAGTAGTAGTAGTAGTAGTTTATATTTTTTATTTTAATTGGCCTAAGTATGAGTTACAATTGAAATATAACAATAATTTGCAATGCAAAAAAATTAATTAAAATTTTTAACAATTTCATACCTTCTTTTGCTGTCTGACCTTTTCCTTTTCTTCTCTGGAGGAGCATTTCCAAACTCTGAACAAGCAAATGAATAATTATGAGCAAAGTTGGATTATTATCATTTTTATTTATTCAGATATGCTCAGCAAAAATACAGCAAAAAAAATTAATTACATGCTCTTTGACACTGTCTTAGCTGATTTTCCACAAAATTTCAAGTTAAATAGTATGTACTGTGCAGGCAGTGTTGGGGCAGATTCAATAGATTTTAAAACTTTTCAACATGTACATAAACTTTTTATGTATAAACTTATCGTTAAACAAAATGTAATGAATAAAAAAAAAAATTTCTAAATAAGTAAATAATTTTGGCATCATAAAAATGTAGTCATGCTAATGTTCTGAATAAAAAAAACACAAGTATCGATCAAAACTGTATTTACCTAAAAAAAAAAACCCCCCATTTTTTTATATAACATTTCACAATCAGTTGTTTAAATAGGAATTACATGCAATGAATTACAATGTATTAATTTTTTTCTGGTCAGCTTCAACTGTCAATTCAGAAGTAACTGAATAAAATATGAAAAAAAAAGAATAGCACCACATACGTACGTGCCTTCTTTGGGTACCTGATCTTTTCTTTCGTGTTCTTTTGGAGCATTTCCAATATAGTCCACCAGAAATACGGATTTGAAGCACCAAAGTTGGACATAATTGCAACAAAATGTTTTTTTATGAATATATATAGTTAAATTTTATATCTACAACATACAAAAAGTTTACCAAAATATACCCACGGGAAAGGTGATTTTTATAGCAAAGAAAACTGAACTATTTCACTGGGATTATACGCCGTGCCTAGGATGTGTGTGCTGTGCCTTGGTTACGAAGCGCTTTAATTTGATTTGCCGCTGACGCTTTTGATTGGTTAACATACCTTCAACAGTCTGCGCGTACTCATTTACGCAACACACGTACGTACGTACGCAAGTACGCAAGTTCGTACGTACGTCACGTCTCAGAATGTAAACACGGAAATTGTTAGATATTATAACCTCTGTAATATTTAATTTCAGGGTAGATGGATCTACAACAATAATTCAATTTTAATTTTAAATAAAATGATAGGTACGATTAATTGACAAATAGTGAGGCCTGCCCAGTGTGTGCCGACCCAGCTGAGACTCAGGAGCCGGAAAAAAAAGTATGTGATCTTACATCAATAGGCCCTATATAGGAATAGGCCTA